TAGCTAATGTTTGTTAGTTACGTTTTTATTATAAACATAAAGTGAACGGCTTTATATGTACAATGCGAGACGAGCGTGCGGGCATAGTGGCACTTTTAGCTTACTAAAACAACAATATATCTATACAATCTTACAAATACAGTATTAAGCTGTAAATGTCGCTGACAGCATTCCACTGGCCAACTAAATGAGCGGACAGAGCTTCGTTTATCCAAGCGGTTCTTTCTGTAACGGTTTCGCTTAAGTCCCGCTTCAAGTCGTAACTTTCGCATACAATTGCTTGTTTCTTACGGAAACCGATACTAACTCAAATTGAAACCCGTTCGGAGAAGAATATGAACGGTCAGTCCTTTGGAAACGGTGTTCCATAGCGCTGGTGCTGGAGACGGTAGAAGTCGTCGCTTAAAGAAAACGTTAACCTTCATGACGCTGTCAGAGACCCTCTGTCTCTTTCCAACGCGCTGTATATTTTTTTCTAGAATAGGAAATTTAATGTTTGAAAAATATGATAGAATAGGACCAGTAAGAAATGAACGAACCGTCCAAGTACGCACGGCTGCTGATATTTCTTACATCGTAGAGCAAGAACTAATTTTCACACGTCTGTATGTTTTTGCTATTCTTGATAACATGATTGTTCGCGGTAATGCAGTAATTTGTGTCGAATGCACTAGCTCAGTAGAAACCTCAAGTTGTTCGGCCCTAGACGTATCATTTAACGCTTGAAAAATAGATTAAACGTTTGCGTCCGTAAGGATACATGTAAGAACAATTTTTCAGTCTACGAAAACCGCTTCAGGCTCGGATCTGTCAAGATATATCTCGTTTTTTAGGGTTCCGTACCTAAAGGGTAAAACGGGACCCTATTTCTAAAATTCCGCTGTCTGTCTGTCCTTCCGTCTGTCACCAGGCTGTATCTTATGAACCGTTAGACAGTTGAAATTTTTAAGTGGGGCTCCCATACAACGGACATGATTTTTTTTGCCATTTATATGGATAATTTTATGGAACCCTTCATGCGCGAGTCCGACTAAAATGTTTCCATCACTAAATGACCATCATGAGATAAAACAGTTTTATTTAAATACGATGCGCCTTCGACAAATCACCAATTTGACCACCTTCAAAACTTCACATCGAGATCCGCGCCTTTCCCGCGCAACCGGATCGCACAGTCGAAAAGTTTGCCAAATCAAAAGGCGCGACGAGAGATGCGCAGGCAATCTGCGATGAAAACAATTTGTACGAATGGCGGCTGTTATCGGGGTTTCGTGATCGAAAGTGACACTAACGAATTGTCCGAGCGCGCTAAGAGGCAATGGATTGGGAAAGAGCATTAATATCGACGTTGCCTGTAACTTATGGGCTCGGGGATTTCTTCGTGAGTGCATATTGTTTATCTGAAAGCGAGACGACGGATGGACCCGGCGGCTGCTTCGCACTCGATAATATCACGTTAGCCGTGTTACTTTTTCTGTGTGTTCTATACTTGGTTTCAGTTTGTTGTGTTTTGTCTGATACAATTTAGTTCCATTCTTGGTTTCAGTTTGATTCAATTCACCTCAACCTGTCATTTTAATTTCAATTTTACTTTTCTTTTTATTTATTTTTATTTTTACATGGTATTCTAAATTTGTAGATAAAAAAAAAAGCGAAGATATACATCATAAATGTTTTCTATGATTTTTCTTTTCTCCTTCTCTCAAGGCAAGGAAGCTTTCTTGTGAGGATATTTTCAAGGAACGTTCTTCGTCATTCGGCAATACTTGTAAATGTTTGAAATATTAAAATGAATCGATTATTTGCGGCATTTAGCTCAACTGTAAGCTGTTATATTTTAGTCAGAGCTTTTACATTTTTAAGACCCTTCTGTCAAAATAAGCTTTTTGTTTGTCTCCTACTTTTATTGTAAGATCAGTGTTATTAGAAGTGGCAATGAGTTCATACGGACTCATTGGGATCCATGATATGGTAGAAAAAATCAGACGTGTGGCGATTAATATCTATTTTGGGAAAATGTATCTTTGAAGTATACATTTTTCATAATTTATTGGTAAAGTATATATTGTGTCGGCATTAATTTCGAGAATAAAGTGCCACAGCTGATTGAGGATCAACATCAATAAAAGAGATAATAAATAAATAAATAAATTTTCTTGGTGTTAAATATAATTTATAAAAATAATACAAATAAACCTAAATAAAATTATTAACGTTATTAAATAAAATTATAAATGTAAATAAAATTATTAACCTAAATAAAAAGATTTTAACAGACATACAAAAGATATTTCGGTAACAAACACAGGAGCTGCAACGGCGCGTCTGTAATTATTATTTCAACCAAATAAACACCCAATCTTCCACCTAATAACATACAAGCATTAAATTGATTTATCGCGTACGTACAAGAAATGATTGAGCGAATCAAACAAAAAAGGCGCGAAGAGTTCTGACCTGAGTGTACTGAGATGCAGCGGTAGAGGTCAGTATAAGGCACAACCCGGTCGATCAAAATAAGTCATAACACACCGATATAACATCTTAATACTTAGTGTGATATTGACTTTTTTTTAGAGCCTGCAATAGAATTACTATTGAATCGAGAATTTATTCCAAGTTTCACTAAAACATTGCAGGGTTATTTAAACTAAGGTATCGTGACAAAATTATGAATAAACGAATGTGTGTCAATGTGTCTGTAATGTTTGCTGATTGGTAGTAGATAGATTCTGCTAATTGATGCCTTACGAAAAACACATTTTATTCTCCTCCAAAATGAACTCACTTTATATTCAGTGGTAATGTTTTTGTTTGTATAATCTGTTTTAAATATAATACCTAGATAAAAATTAAAATATCTTTATATAGGTATATATAATTCTTCTGTGCGTGTGGGGTGTCACTGAACTGCTTCTTAACGGCTAGACCTATTTTAATGTAATTTTTCGTGTGCCTTCTAATCTTCTAGGTGGATTCGACGATGGTTTAGAATCAAAAATCGGTCCACTATATTTTTTTTTTTAATTTTTTTTTTATTTATAAATTGTTGTCGAATTTAAGGCGTGTGTCGTTGTCCTTTACAACGTCTGTTGTACGTCAACATATAAATTTTAATTATTTTACACATACAAATTTTAATTATTTTTATGAAAAAACGTTAATTAGATTGTTTAATGCTTAATAAATGGCTTTAACACCACTCACTCCCCTTTTTTTGGCTTGGAGGAAATCTTTCAAATTCAGCCCATTAAGGTTATATGGAGGTTTGATGGCGAGTGACTCACTTAAACCCTCTATCTGATCTATTATAGGCACCGAGTATTTTGAATAGTTAATAATAAAATTATTTCGGTGTGTTCCGTAGGTATTAAGTTAATCAATATTACAATAGACATTGAACCTACACACTCTTGTAGAAGAGATAGGTGTACTGTCTTTACGCCAATCGTGGCGATTTATTCATGACTAGCGACCTGCCCCGGCTTCGCACGTTTCCCGTGAATCACTTCATCTAGTAAATAAACCGCATCAAGATCCATTGCGTAGTTTTAAAGATCTAAGCATACATAGGGACAGGCCGACAGCTGGACTTTTTTTTTATGCGAAAAGTTGTCAAACGAGCAGACGGTTCACCTGATGTTAAGTGAATACCGCCGCCCATGGACATCTGCCACACCCGAGGGTTACAGATGCGTTGACAACTTTTTGAAAATTGGGTTCGGGCTACCTCACTCACCAGACGAAACGCGAAAGTATTTGTCATACTTCCACTTTACGCTGGTCTTCTGTGAGGTCGTGGTACTTACCCGGACGGGCCTGCCCATTCGTGCAACAGCCGATGTTGCTGCGTGGTCCTACCACCGTAAAACGTCTTTGTTTTATACTATGTGATGTCATGAGAGTATGAGAATTATTCATTGTCTTCCGTTTGCAATTACCGTAAGCACCTCCCATTGGACTTTTCTTGAAAACCCCATGGTGCCGTGGTCCCGAGTGCTCTCTAGCAATATTAGGACCACTTTTTTGTTGTCTTAGATAGGCATTAGACGTCTTGGCCTATTTTAAACCAATCAATTGTGTTAGGGTTCGAAGGATTTGGATTTTTCATGTTGTCTTTGTTCTTTGAATGGTTTTACTGGTCGACGCTAGATGGCGCTAGTTTCTTTGTTCTTTGTGTGTTCGTAACAATATGTAGCTAACATACTACAGCAACGCTTGATTGGTACGTCTCTCGGTAGTATAGATCTCTCTCTTTCTTACTTGCTAGGGTTACTACACGCGAAAAATTGTTTGCTTCGGTCAGTATAAAATATGAGGTTGTGTGTATATGTAAAAAGGGCAAGCGGTGAAATATGACTAACTCGACCTGTTTTTTCGTTTGTGATTTATTATAGGACCGATGACTTTGTTGACATGCGTTTTACAAGGTGCTAAAGTTCTTCAAACAGGAAGTGGATACGTAGTTTTGTTACATAACATAATTAATTGAGAATTTACGATAAAAATTTCGTGTGTATTCGTGGAAATCTGTACGATCAATAAATTAATAACAGGGAATGCGTATGTCATAGAATTAAAACAAAGTAGGTAATTATTTAAAATAAATTACTTTTCTCGATTTTAATACTTAATTTTGTCACCTGAAATTAAACAAATGCGTGTGTACAGAGTATATGCAATGATGTCTTAATAAAGATGACGCAGGTCTATACCGCGCGGCGTTCAATAAATTTTTCGCTTTCATATTATGACATAAGCGACTGACAGATGATATGAAGAACGTATGATACGGAAGGAGATGATAATTACACCAATTGGCGTAATTTGAGGGCCTCAATTTCGGTGCGCTAGTGTCATATCTACCTCGTATTTGTATATAATATAATTGAGTACACGTGAAAATATATAAGATCAATATATTAATAATACAGGATGAGAATGTCATAGAATTATAGCAAAGCATGGATTTTAAATGAATAATGTTTTTCGTTTTTCAGTTCGACGAATTCATCCGATCACTCCAAGTGGACCCCCACTCGCCCCTCTTCAGGCTCGTGACCGACGGACAGCCGCCTCTCAGGTTCGTAATTTTCCCCTGTTTTTTTTAAATAACACCTCTTCGTCATTCCTCAGACAACAAAACTTCTATGAACTAAATGGATTATACGCACACACATGTCAGTTAGATGAAACGTGTTATACTTAGTTTTCATAGAATTGAAAGTTTATCGATGCCATGCAAATGAAAGGCGCTTCTGCTAATCTGAAATATTTATAAACATCGTTCGATTGATTGATTGATGAAAAATCGATTAAACTCTTGCAAATTTGCATGCAACAGCAATAGAACTGGTAAATGTTTCTTACGAAAGATGGTGGCATAAAGCAGGTGGTTTATCCGTTCCTAAGATTGTCAGCAACCAAGAGTATTGGTTCTTCATATTCTTTGGTGGGGTGGTGAAAACAAAGTAAGACTCACCAAATCGAAGGCGATAGTAAATATCAACTTTATAACGGTGTTCTACACAACAGTCTTCGCTGTTGCATGAATTGGTAGGTCCGTACCACGTAAGGCAGGTAAGTACCACGACCTCATAGAAGACCGGCGTAATGTGGAAATGTTATACTTCCGCGTTTCGTCTTTTCCGACCGCCCATGGACATCTATTACACCCGAGGGTTCCTAATGTGACGACAACCTTTTGAAAATTGGGCTCCGGCCACCTCACTCACCAGACGAAACACGAAAGTATTGTACTTCCACTTTAGGCCGGTCTTCTGCGAGGTCGTGGTACATACCCCGACGAGCCTGCCCATTCGTGCAACAGCTGAGGCTGCTGCGTGGCCCTACCACCGTAAAGCCACTTATGAATGAGGTAGCCGGGGACCACTTTAGTATTAGGTGGCAAAGCATTTACAATCCTACGGGTTTTGCAAATGTCTATTGGTGGCGGTTATCACTAAACATCAGGTGAACTGCCAGCTCACATGCCACCAGCTCGTTTGCCACCTTCACACGTAGAAGAAACTCGTACTCTACGACGTGCTAGCCAGTGCGGATGCCGACATAACGGATGTGGCTTACGTGTGGCACTCAAGTAACGCAGCAAAGAGGCGCGTTGTATAAACATTACGCGAAGAATGCGCGCCGATGGCTTCCATCGACAGACTCAACACGTGAGGTAACCTGTTTCGATGACGGTACATAATCGGCGCAGGCCCGTTAGCGTTTGATCGTACGTTATGGAAAATTGAATGTATGCTAGGTAATTGCAAACAGCTGACGACCAGCAGGCGCGTTAGGAATTGGAGTGATACATTCTGTTAGAAAATGTGGTTCCGTGAATCAAAATAAATATTCTGTTTAGCTTTTATGATTGTTTTATTCTGTTTAGATTTTACAATTTAAGACTAACCTGGGTTTCACAAGATACTATTAAATTACATCATCATCAAAGTAGTGTTGTTAAATAGAGAAGGGAGAATTATTGTATGCAGTCATAGCAAAACAATAGCAATGATACAAGGTACAAGAACATATTCTCAACACATTCGAGTCGAAGCAATTTCCACGTATGCTTATTTGGACGTAAATCAGTGTTAGAAAATTTATTTAATGTAATTCTTAAACATTTCTATTTGTGTTGAGGGTGAATCTTCAAAATACACCGACACAACAAAATCAAGCGATGACATTATATTAGTAAGTAATAGACAAATTTTATGCGGGATTTCAACGCAATACAATCCATATGACAGTGTTATTTAACCGTGCGTGCGATGGCTCAGTCGAGCTGTTGCAAAACTATTGAATTCGGCGACGGGATCGTAGATTCTATTCTCACACGGGACAAGTTTTTGTCTGAACCACAAATAACTACGTAGCTGGAATAAGAGAGAAGTATGATGATTCAACCATTAGTGGTGTTCGCGTAAATACGATAAATCTTTAAGACAAACTGAACTATTCAACTAGTCAAACAACAGATGATGCTCTATCAAAGTTTATTTGTAAAAAGTATGTCTTCTTAGGCCATTGATGCAATCAAACCTTATTTATGACATATGTGAAGGCTTTATCCTTTTGATATCGATTTTCTTTCGAAACCAAAAGAGAACCAGTATGTACCGAATATCCTTGCAAGTTTAGTCGTTAATAACGGAAATCGTTAAGTTCCTGGAATTTTTTATTTTTTGTTATAAATAAACATTTGCCCTTGAGTGTTCTGAGCTCATTTTTACTTAACGAGATTTTATCAAGATATATTTTTATTTTCATTATAAGTAGGTAAATATCAACTTTCATGTATGCCGGATTGTACGTATAAGGTTAACGTATTTGCGCACAATTTGTCATTAAAAGTAATTTAAGTCGTTCTCAATTTATAAAATTTGTACTTTACTCCCACAGAGGTTTCACGAATGTACCCGCATCATATACCTATAACGTAACCGCTATGTTTAATAATGACATGCTTTTGCTATTGTTTTCTATAGATACAAAAATATAACTTTTTGTGCGATATTTCCATACAAGTCAATTCGAAAACAGCTAAGCAAACCTTGTTGTGTGACAAACTTTGGAAAGTTTCATATCCATAATATGGATTGCTACCTGCGGCTGATGACTCCGTGATGCATTTGCCAAAGTAATGGATTCTTCTTGGTGCCGGGGTAGTGGGTTCGATTCCCACAAGAGACAAATATTTGTGCAATTTAAATATGTAAAATGTCCTTACAACTCAGGGTAATGTTACCAATGATGTAAAGGCAATATTTTTGGAGGGAAGACTACAATAGATCTAGGTCGGAGTAGTCTCAACCGCTTCCATACAAAATACAATACAACATCTGCTGCTGAATTTTACCTCCCCACAAACACCTCCAAAGAACATCGGTATCGACTTGTTGGTTTCCCAATTTCGTCTGCTGAGTGGGGTACCCGGGACCACTTATTTAATGGTTGGCAACGCTTCTGCAACCCTCGGTGTTGTAGATGTCCATGGGCGGTGGTATTCACTCGACATCAGATGAATATTCTGCTCTCTTGCCAACTTTTTACATAAAAATCACGTAAAAGTCCACCGCGAACTTCCTGCCCAGAGTAACCACTGTAGATTCAGTTGCGGATTGAGAAAGATATTATGAAAGGCCTGCAACGCATTTGACTCCCCTGAAGTATATCTTACCATCAGATTACCGATTTAGTCGATTGCCTTCGTTTCAATTTAAAAAAAAAGAATAAATTTACAACTATCTTTTTTTAACACACCCGTGGAACAGGACACCTGTTATCGTCATATTTTCATTCCATTAAGTCGGATCATTTATTTTGTTTATTACAAGTCGTCGCACGTGTACCGCGTGATATATTGCGGACATTATTTTAACAGAGTTTTCAATATTGAAATTCGTCGATTTACATCATACCAATAACGATTTTTTTTAATTTATAATTTAGATGGCGACTCAGTTAGCGGTAATTCAAATTTTAAATTAGAGCCTTGGACACCAACATTCTATATTTTAGGGGCACTAAAAAGCGACATTTTCCCATAAACATGTATTTTATTTGCTGAGTATTGACTATGGTAGGGCCACGTAATGGTAAGCTTCTGCTGTTGCAAGAATGAAGAACAATCGGCGACGTGCCACGAGAAAATTTATATTAACATGATCGTCTGTTCAAATGTCAATCACTACGAGTATCCTCCGACGCTACATTGCGACTTTAGTTCATACATATCGTGAATGAGTAAGGCCAGTTATATTTTGATTTGCATTAAAGTGAAATTGCGTTAGGTCTAACTAATAATAATTGCTTAAAAGAAGAAGAAGAGAACCTTCAAGAAGAGAGCATACTCTTTTCTAAAAGGCCGGCAACGCATTTGTGAGCCCCTCGGGTGTTGCAGATGTTCATGGGCGGCGGTAATCACTTACCATCAGGTGAGCCTCCTGCTCGTTTGCCCCTTTTCTCCATAAAAAAAAAATGCTTATGTCTACTAAAAATAAATCTTGTATACACTTAGAGAACGGTGGAAATGATTCAAAAATGTGCAATTAGAACAATAGTAAACTAATCATTAAATGTAGAAAAATTATCCTTTATGCATCACAATTTTTCACTTCTCAAATATAATTACGATATGTCAAGTGAGATACGAAAACGATATGTATCTGACTTGCATTATACGATGCAAGACGAAGAAATTTGTCGAATTATTTTATAGCAACGGCTATAAAATAAATAATAGTCGAATATAACGGATATTCTAGTACTAGACAGCAAGTCTAGTAATCAATCAAAGACAATAATCTATTAATAGAAAAATATGAAACTTTTATACAAATTTTAAAATAATAAATCTATGTTAATTGAAGAAATAATTCGTTTAAAGTTGAATAAAGTAATTTTTTGGTGAAATTTAGGGGTATCCGTTTGTCTTTCGCGTTTGGATGAATATATTCTTAAAGGTACCCTTGGTTATTTTTCACTTTAATGTCATTCGTCTTTGGAAGGTTACCTGTCTATATTTAGACGTTATCTATCTATGTAACATCCGTTCGTCTTTGTTGCTTTCCTATTCACCGTATGAAAAGAACCTTCTTTGTTATTTGCTTCCTATGGCGTCGGAGTTAAAAATAACTATTCCGTATAACGATATTGAATCTACGCTCGACATGAAGCCAATTCCGGCCTACTCGAGTGATATTTGCATCACAAAACGGGGTACTTATGACGCTGTACGTTTTCCTGACACATTTGGGCACAGTGCATTCATTGACGTCGTTCCTAATAATAATAAAATATCATTATTCACATAGATGCTTGCGCGTTCTCATGAAACGTCGGAATTTTACAAGGAAATTAATATGTTCGTAAGCTACCACCGGTTCGGAAAGCAGTATCTGTTGAGAAGAAACCGGCAAGAAACTCAACAGTTGCTCCTTTTTAAAAGGTCAGTTTACAATATAATGTTACAAGTATAATAGTCTTGTTTTAGCTTACGCGAGTACCAACAGTATTAACCCCATACATTGGCGTCGTCAAGATATTCAGCAATAGTATAATATGCTTTAG